ACCAATGTTTACCATGCGGATCAGAACCAGATTTTTTGTGCAGTTTTTATAAAAACTTCCGCATCTTTGGCTCCAAGGAGGGCGAAAACCACCTCAGTATCAAATAATGATCATTCTGATGCAACTTCTGAAATTGCCTGATCTATCAAGTCTTAGAATCTCCCTAATACAGCGCCAGCTACATTATCTAGTAGATATAACGCAAATAAAATGTTTTTGAAATGTTGAAGGTGAAAGAGCGAAATTACACACTTGGCGCTTGGAATGCGTCTTTCGCGCCGCGTATTGTTGCATTTTACGGTATAATTATATTATCATCACCATCTTTATTACCAGTTAATGTACATAATGCCGCGAAAAAACTTCTAACCGAATGGGGATCGCTACCGGGGATATAAAAAGCAAATGAAAAAAACCGCAAATCGCCATTCACGTGGATATAATGGCAGTTTCTTGGAATTGATCAAACGGTTTGAATGATGAGCTGATTTGCTGCATTTGATATGACATTGAAAATAACAACTGGGAACAATGCTGAAGAATTGGATTTTTCGCGGCGATTACCAATAAATCTTCTTGATGAGGAACTACGCGGATCGAGCGGGTCTGAGAACTTGGCACACTGAATGAATGTAAAAGTTCTTATCAGTAGTTTTCGAGCTCAAAGTGACAGCTTTTAATACAAAAGATACCATCAAACTTCTCCTAGAACAAACCATTTGCATATTACTAGCACGGTCCATCGAGCATAAACCAAAGACGACAACCATAACATAATTACTAGACAGGCACCACACCTTAATATCTCTTAATTATAGAGGAAAAAAACTAAAACAGTTCTGCAACAAACTACAAGATGCTGAAGCACGCGCTACTTAGATGCAATGTGAAAGAATTTCACTCGTCCGAACGTTCTCTTCTGAAGTGAAGGTAGAACAAGTAATGCCGATTTTTTGTTAGAGGAAAAAACCAGGATCGGCATGTTTTAAAAATCAAATTAATTAAAATTTAATTACATTGCCCGTTTAGATAAGTCTATTCGCTTGATATAATGCAAAGAAAGCAAGAATGTCACCTAGAAATCGGTTACTTAACTTCAAGTGCAAAACCTAGTAGATTAATTCAA